CGTCTGCTTTGCTATTTTAGCTAGTTCCTAGTTCCTTTCTGGCTTCCATTTAGTTGAGAGCGCAATTTGGGTTCCCATTGTGCTTGCACTGTTTCCATATGCTGAAATTATACAGTTCTCTTGTTCAGTCGCATCGCGTCGCGTCGCTTTGCTTATTTTCATTTTGGCGACACGTCAAATTCAGAGAGTGTCAAACGCGTGCATTGACATGGAGGCCACAAGTGCGTCCGCATCCCAGGCTTATGGTGTGTGTTGTGTGTGTGCGTCTGTGTTGTGTGTGTGTATGGGTTAAGAAATTACACGACAGCCTACAACAAAACATCCACAGCAGCATCAGCAACAGCAGCAGTTGTTCCTGTTTGTTTGCATTTTCACTGTTGCCTGCTGCTGATTGTTATTTCCATGGTAGGGAGAGATGAGCTGCTATACCCTGTAACCATAAAATGTTCAGAAATGGGTATAACAATGTGGAGGAAAGATAGAATGTGGCATCATGTCAACACTTGCGATATATGCCCTTGTGTAAATACTTTAGATAAAACTCTTTTAGTTGTAAAAACTTTAATTTATTATCTTTTCATCTTCCCAAGCGAGAGTTTGGCGATAGCCTAGCACACTTTCAACAAGAATAAAGATGGGCTCATGTTTCCCTCAACAAGAAACTTAGGTTTCTTAATGAAAAGATTCCTTTTACTATTTACCAAAGGTAAATGGAACATCGTATCTCTTGGAAGATAAGAAAGCGATGAAAAAGCGACAATTATAAAACAACGCGATAACCAGTAAGAAACCCACATGCCTGCCTATACGCTATGCAATAAGTAAATCTCCGATGGAAGATAAAAAATCGATAAACAAAAGAGAATGACAGAAATCTAGAATCTAGAAATACATTCTTATTTTGGAGTATATCGGATATAGTCCTTGATGAACGATAAGAATGCGATAATAAGGCGATATCGATCATGTAAAAGTCGAATATAGTCTTTGATGAAAGATAAGAAACCGATATGTAAGAATTCTAAAATCTATAAACAAATTCTTATTTGCTCTTAAAAAGTCTAGCATATACGATGGTATATTTGATGGAAGATGAGAAAGCGATAATAAGGCGATATCCATCTAAATCTAGAATCCAGAAACCCATTCCTATAGGGATATTATGCATTGCCTATTGTTTACAGGGTATCCTCAAATGTTCAGCTGTTGGTGTTGCTGATGCGGTCGTCATTGTCGCTTTCCCCAAACAAACTGCTCAGTCATTCATGGCATACTTTATCAACAGCGGGGGGTGTGGGGTGTGCGGTTTATGTGGGGCCACGTGGGTGGTGGAGGAAATTGTTATGAGTTGCCCATTGCCCGCTTTGGCTACCTCTGTGCGCACGTAGCGCCTCCATAAGGCCGCTACCCGTTGTCGTAATGTGGGCAATCTGCTCTATTTTTAGCAGCCGGGGGGCAACCGGGAGCACTGCATTGCCAGCTGTTTCCACGTCAATGCGGGCCTGGTCCGTGCCGGGGCAGCTTTATTTCGGCCATTTAGTTGCCGGCTGCCTAACAAAATCAACCGCAAGCACAACGCTTGTGCGTTGCAATGTCCAAGTGGTTGGGCAGAGGGGCGACCGGGCTGGATGTGGCGTCACATTGAGTCAGACAGTTGGTTTAACGATGAAACACACCTAAAATGCTCCGGTCTGGTCCTGTGCCCAGCCACACCTCGCTTCGCGTCGACTGTGTTAATATTTGCTCGACTTAATTAAAAATCTTTTCTAATTTGCATAAAGTTCATGTCCTGGTGTCATTTATTGAGGCTTTTGCGGCTAACTGTTGCCCGCTCTGACGCATAGATGGCGCCAGTGCATAAACTGTTCGGAATTTGCAGAGATTAGAGATAATGAGAGCTTCTATGTTTTTGCTTAGATTTAAACTTAAAGCCAAATATAATGAAGCAGTATAAATCTTATCGAATCGGATTTGTAAGTTTGGCGCTTAGAGTTCTCTCAGACTTATCCAAAATGTGTCTTTGCTTCTTTTTATGAACTTAAACTTAAGTTTAACTTTGCGTTTGAGCATCTTCCCTTAACCTTTTCATTATTGTTTCCAACCGTTCAGTTCTGGCTTGGACTGCAACTAAACAAAACTAAACTACGTAAGAATTCGGCTGACGTCAGTTTGTCTTATTTTAACCAATAAAGAAACGTTTAAAAATAAAGAGTTAAAATATTTTTAGCAGCAGCTCAAATTTCATTTAAAGCCGTGTCCAAGAAACGTAGTCTTTTTGTTTAATTTTTGATCCGCAGCCACATTCGGGCTGACATTTTTCTTATATATAGAATATATATGTATATATTTAGCCTAGGTGGCGCCATTGCAACTTGCTTGGCTGAATGCGAGGGCATTAGAGGTCTCAAATTTCCAGCTTAGTTGCGACTGGCTTGGCCTTTTGTTTGCTTCGCATTCCTTTCATCCACACTAATTAACGAAATGCACTTGCCTCTGGAGTTGGGGCTCCGTGTTGGTTTCTCAAATTGAAATGACGAAGTAAAAAACAAAATTGCTCTAGTCGGTTGTGCCCGACTGGTAGATACCCTAAACACAGCACTGAGCTGGCTCTCTTCTACGGAAACACATGATTGTGCTGCTTCTTCCCTTTGCCTCACACTATCTATGAGCAAACACTCTTGAATAACTTTCGGTGTTTATAGTCCGATCTTAATGAGATTTACATGCCTTCAAAAAGGGCACATACAATTTTGTGCATACCAAAACGCAAGGCTCTAGTTTAAGAAATGCGTCTGTTTTTTCCAATTTCTGATAGATTGGGGAGGTATCTTAAAAGTAATTCAGATAGAGTTTTATTGCTAAATTTTCGACGGAATGGCGAATATATCCAAACAGTGAAATATTCTTAATCTATTAAAAGTTTTCGATAAGCCACATTAGAAGTTTTAGGTGTGTAGCTCTTAGAATTCTCGAGTTTGTTTCAAAATCAAACACTATGAAAATGACAGGAAATATCGAATATTTAGGGTATAGAAGAATAAACCACATTTAAAGTTTCCAAATAACCATATTTGGAGTTTCCAAAATCGACGTGTTCTCACAGACGATCGTGGCATGATCTATTAAGCCTGTCGTTCTGATCAAGAACCGGGTTGAATATGCTTATTGCTGCCTGTCACATACCTGAACACAAAGGCAATATACCCTTTTAAAACATTTCAAATGGGTTTTCGGGTATAATAAAACTAAAGGAATAAGAATAAGAGCGTTGACGTCGCCCACAGCCATTGACAATAATTACACGGCCACAAAGCGAACGGAAGAAGGGGGTAGGGGGGTAGAGAGAAAAAGGTAGTCAAGTGGCCCAAAGGGGGCTGCTGGGCTTTTCAGGCTATTTCCGTTTCAATTTTGGGGCGTGTTAAGTGGGTTGATCAGCTTGTTGTTTGTTTTTCTTTTCGTGGCTAAGAAAAGATTGTTAATTACAGCTGCAGCTAAAAGTGCTCCAACAGTTGGAGCACTGCACACAGTAATCCACAAAATCTGGCCAAGCATATTCACCCAGCTTCTAGGCTCGCTTTGTGGTCATTTGCTGTGACGACTTTTTCAAGTGGGCCGTCGGCAGCTGCTCTTATGTTTTCTGTGCCTGTGAAGCACGTACACTTCAAATGGCGGCCGGACAAGACCTAACGACTGCCCCGGCGAGATTTCAATTAAAGCCCACACAACACGATTACAGCTCAGCCACACCCCAGTTGCAATCTCTCCTGCCAGCTCCTGGCCATATGGACATGTCGTTTGCCTTCAATCAGCGGCATTTACGGGCAAAGGCACAGGCTTGGCTGGTATGCTTTATGCTATGTATACACTGCAAGAGAAAGGTGTATCAAACTGAAACATTTTTTAGATTTGCAAGTTTCTCAGTCTGGAGTTGGGCTCTAGATCAATTCAGGAATCTTAAATATTTACCTTTTTCTTTTTATGCGATTAAAATTCATAAAAATCTCTATCAAAATCAAAATTCACTGAAATTTTGACATATTTTAATTTCTTGCACTTGAAAATTCCCTCTAAAAAATATATATATATATTTTTATCCTACCTATCAATTAAAGTGAATATTTAATTTTCGAAGTTTCTACCACTTTTTTTCTCTAAGTGCACACATATACATAATAAATACATATTTACCTCTTGCCGCGTTTTGGGCGTGTCCTGCGCCCATTAAGCTTAACATGCACGCGCGTCTATGACGCATTTCGCAACACTGGCCGGCGCAATTAAGCAACAACAACAACAAGAAAATCCAATAAATGCCAGCACATAAATCCAACTTTCAGATGCACTTGCTCCTCCGCTGGGAGATCTGTAATAAAGGAAAAACGCCAAAAAGAAAAAATATCTGCGCCGTTTAATGAAAAATGTAACAAAGTGAAATAAGGGGCGTTGCGTCAGCCGCACAAGCACAGCTCCCCAGTGACTGACGCCCCCCATTGGCACTGCCCCGGCATTCCTGCCCCTGCCCCCCTTGCCCATCCCCCTGCCGCCTACACAACTTACACATGCAAATGACTGCAATAAAAATGGCAGGCTGGCAACTTTTATGATTGCAATACCCCTGAAACGTGGACCGGGTTCAGGGCGAGTGAGTGGAAGGTAGGGTAAGGGTATATTAAGTTTGTATAGTTTATAGAAAAAGTTGAGAGGAGAGAAAGATGTAGGTGTATCTTGGCAAGGAGAGTCTGATAAATGCATTTTTATTAAACCTATATAATTATAGAAAAAGTTGATGAAGAGAAAGATGCAGGTGCATATAGGCAGGGAGAGTCAGAGAAATATATTCCTTTTGCATCTAGCTAGTTTTAAAAAATCAAAAAAATGTATTATAATAATATTAATATTACAAAGGAGAGCGCCTGCAGCGCGTAGGACATCCATAAAAAACTAAAGATAGTTTTTTACTTTTCCATATTTTTTAACTCCATTTTTTTCTCACTTTTCAGGCGCTCACCAAATTCCAAACCTCACAGAAGGTCACCAACAAGACCGGCATCGAGCAGGAGGAGACGCTGCTGAATGAGTCAGCCGCTCGCGAAACGTCGCTCAATTTGCAAATACTTGATCTGGAGAATGAGATCAAGCAGCTGCGTCATGAGCTGGAACGTGTGCGCAACGAACGGGATCGAATGCTGCAAGAGAACTCGGATATTGGACGCGATAAGAGCGACAATGAGGCGGAACGGTTGCGTCTCAAATCCGAGCTAAAGGATTTGAAATTTCGCGAGACGCGCATGCTCAGCGAGTACTCTGAGCTGGAAGAGGAGAACATATCGTTGCAGAAGCAGGTCTCCAGCCTGCGAAGCTCGCAGGCAAGTGCTCAAGAATTCTAGAATCCCATCCAGCTGTGCCTAACTATTTATGCTTTGCCTCACACAGGTGGAGTTCGAGGGTGCCAAACACGAGATACGTCGTCTCACCGAGGAGTTGGAGCTGCTGAATCAACAGGTCGATGAGCTGGCGAATCTCAAGAAGATTGCCGAGAAGCAAATGGAAGAGGCACTGGAGGCACTGCAGGTGTGTTTGGAATCATTTTATAACACCCAAGTTCCTATTTGTTAACTGTTGCCATTCCAATCTCAGGGCGAGCGTGAGGCCAAATATGCGCTGAAAAAAGAGCTGGATGGTCACCTGAATCGCGAGTCCATGTATCACATCAGCAATCTGGCCTATAGCATACGCAGCAACATGGAGGACAATGCCAGCAATAATTCGGACGGCGAGGAGGAGAATCTGGCGCTGAAACGCCTCGAGGCGGACCTAAGCACAGAGCTCAAATCGCCCGATGGCACAAAATGCGATCTCTTCTCCGAGATCCATCTGAACGAGCTGAAGAAGCTGGAAAAACAGCTGGAAAGCATGGAGAACGAGAAAGCCCATCTAACGACCAATTTGCGTGAGGCGCAGAGCAGTCTGGACAAGTCACAGAATGAGCTGCAAAACTTTATGTCACGCCTGGCGCTGCTCGCCGCCCATGTGGATGCGCTGATGCAGCTAAAGAAACAAATTGACGTCAAGGATCAAACGGCCAGTGGGCAGGCAAAGGACGAACAACTGCAACAACAGCTGCGCCAGTTAATCTCACAGTATGCCAATTGGTTTACGCTCTCCGCCAAGGAGATAGACGGCCTCAAGACTGACATTGCTGAGCTGCAGAAGGGTCTCAACTATACGGACGCCACCACCACCCTGCGCAACGAGGTGACCAATCTAAAGAACAAACTGCTCTCCACCGAACAAAAATCGTTGGATCTGCAGTGCGATGTGCAGACCCTGACGCACATCTCGCAGAATGCGGGCCAGAGCCTGGGCTCGGCGCGCAGCACTCTGGTGGCGCTCAGCGATGATCTTGCGCAATTGTATCATCTGGTCTGTACGGTGAACGGTGAGACGCCTTCACGTGTGCTGCTGGATCACAAGAGCGATGACATGAGGTTGTGTACAAATCGATATCTCTGTCTAAATTCTATGCTAATGTTCTTCTGTTTCGCCTGCCAGCTTTGAGAACGATTCGCTTACCGCTATCCAGTCGCAGTTCAAGTCGGATGTTCTCACAGCACGCCCGCAAATTGTTGAGGATCTGCAGGGTCTGGCCGATTCGGTAGAGATTAAGAAGTATGTGGACACCGTCAGCGATCAGATCAAGCATCTGAAAACCGCCGTCGAGCACACCATCGATCTGAACAAGCACAAAGTGCGCGTCGAGGGTGGCGAATGTAAGTGTTCAGAGTTCCAATTAGGAGAGGACATCCCTATCTGACAGACATATTTCTCTTTGCAGCTGTGGAGAAGGGCAACACCGAGGAGGTGGAGGAGCTACAGGAGCAAATAGTCAAGCTCAAGAGTCTGTTGTCCGTGAAGCGCGAGCAAATCATAACGCTACGCAATGTGCTCAAGTCAAACAAACAAACCGCCGAGGTGGCACTCACCAATCTCAAGTCCAAGTATGAGAACGAGAAGATCATTGTCAGCGATACCATGTCCAAGCTGCGCAATGAGCTCCGACTGCTCAAGGAGGATGCTGCCACCTTCTCAAGTAGGTTAATTAAAATAAAGTTAAAATGCCTGCATTAATACCCTTCCATTCTCTTGTTTTTGCGACCAGGTCTGCGCGCCATGTTTGCGGCACGCTGCGAGGAGTATGTGACCCAGGTGGATGATCTGAATCGCCAGCTGGAGGCTGCCGAGGAGGAGAAGAAAACGCTCAATCAGCTGCTGCGCTTGGCGGTGCAACAAAAGCTGGCGCTCACACAGCGTTTAGAGGAAATGGAAATGGATCGGTGGGTGCATTTGGGTCGCTAAAGCAAGCAGCACAACACAAACCCTATCAAAAGTCTATAGTTATACCCCTTGTAAAATATCCAAACCAAAAAAAAAAAACAAACCCCCAACAATCAGCACTTGGTAAGCATTTTGCATGCGGAAAAACGTTTTTGCATGTGCGCCCCGCTAACCGGCTATTGCTGCTGCTGCTGGAAAATGCCTAACCCAAGCTTGGAGTTGAAATTGAGAAATAGAAGCTCAGAAATAATATAAAATTAGTGTAGTTTTGTACTAATAATAAAAGTAAATGGTTATAAAACGTTTGTAAAACCCCTTAAAAGCTGCCAACTAATTCCTTAACATGCCTGAAGTTCAATACTTGAATAATAATCGATACCTTCTCTAATTGCCACAGCGAGATGCGTCATGTGCGCCGTCCGATGCCACCGCAGCGCGGCACCAGCGGCAAATCCTCGTTCAGCACGCGCCCCTCCAGCAGAAATCCGGCGAGCAGCAATGCGAATCCCTTCTAACATAAGATCAGCGTGCAGCGTAAGCTTTTGGCTTTGGTTTATACTTTGCTTAAGTTGTAAATTCGTTGGGAGCATCGTTTGACAACATGATGAACCACCACCCACTCCGCAAACGGACAGACAGACGCACACACGCATACGTAGTAAATACTGCAAATGTATTTGTGAACGATGCTATAGCTACGGTCTATCCTATATTAACGATAACTATCTATTTGTATCTGTTTCTATTTGTATTTATTGAGAGTTTAGTTAGACGAAAGATTTTTTGTGTTAGGCGAATCACGCAAAAAACAGTTATTAACGGTTAGTTACTTAAACGTCCAATTAATTTAATTAACAATTTTGAAAATGCAAAGAAAAACAGAAAACAAATCGAAACTAACGTAAATAATTGTATTTTTCTATATATACAAAACACATACACATATATGTATTCAATAATGTTTTAGTTCGATTTGAGTTGAGTTTTGTTAAATTTTCGCGTTGATTGTTTGATTTTTGTTATCAACGCTGTGCGCAAGCGAAACTCAAAAGAATGAGGAAAAAGGAAAAAAGAAACTAAAACGAAACAACATTTTTGATATGATAATGTTTGAAGATCTAGCAAGATCTAATTGGCAAATGAAAAACCCATGTATTAATTGGCCTGATAACTATATAAGTATTTTTTTCAAAACGGACCGCCCACAAATATGGCGTCCAAAAAAAAACTCTGTACGTAAAGAACAAAACAGAAACCCTTGTCTAGGGGGGAGGGCAGCTACAAAAACCCAAGATATTGGGAGCAAAAGCCACATGCCCACAAAAAAAAAGAAAAGAAAATGTAAATTCTACATACATACTATATTTATATAAATATGGAAAGCAACTATTGAACGATGTGTAGCAATTGGGCTGCGTCTTAAAGACGGATTTTTCTTCTTGTATTTACCTTCAATTGAAATTGTAGTAAATTAATTTTTGTTTGCAATCAAAATACAAAAAAAAAACCAAGTTTTTTGTTTATTTAGCTGCTGAAATAGTCTATAATTTGTGCATTATTATTTAATTTAATTAATAAAAATCATAAAAAACAAGAATTAGCAAGAATTATTTTTAATTTGATTGAGCCCCATATCATATTATCATATTTTTTTGAAATTTGTTGTTATAGAAAGAGCTCAAGCAATGAATTGAGCCCGATTTGCATTTTATTTAAAAAGAAAAAAACAGCAACAAGCTCTTTTTTATTTTGCCTAGAAGTGAAGCCTTTAAAAATAGAATACTCTATTTATGACTAACGAGCAGCTTAACCAACATAAAATAGCAAAAAAAACAAAAAAAAAACGTTAAAGTTTAAACTAATCTATTATTATTATTATCAGTAAAGTAGCTAATTAATTAAACACAAAAAGTAGTGACTATCCACAGCACATTTTAATCGTATCCCAAATGGCAAAAAATCAATTTTTAGTTTCAATATGTTTTGTTGTAATGGAATAATGAGAAAGAACAAAAAATTCAAATATACAAGTGCGTATATTATGTAAATTTACCGAGCCATTAAATTGAATTTATATTTAAGACACACTCTCACACACACACACACACACATCGTCCACTCACATACACAGAGATTAACTGAGATTTGTCAGTTGCCTATAGAAATTGTTTATGATGAAATTTGTAGAGTCGAAGAGATGCATAAATACATATTTCAAAATGATTTTATTGTAATTTTACCGTCCCTTTTTGCAACAAAAAAAAAAACGAAAGAAAATAAATGAAAGTTGAACAAAGTCTATTTATGAACCAACAACAAGAACAAGACGAAACAAATACAACTTTAAGTTTCATGTCCAAGCATCCAAACATACATACATCAATATATACATAATTACATACATACATATGATAGTTGCATCGATCAACCCAAAAAGCCAAAATATTGATAGCCAACAAAAACATATTGAATAACTCAAGAACTATTTCAATTAACAAAGAAAAATATAATAGTTTTCTATTTCACACAAAACAAAAACAAAAAAAAAAGAACAAACTTAAAAAGTAAAAGCAATTGAATTTAAGAATTGAAACATATTTAAAATAAGTTTTATGATTAAATACGATAAAAACCTGGCATAGCTACAATTTGCCAGCGGGGTTCAAGTGGACATACATACATATGACAAATGCAACAAAGTGTGCAAAATACGATGGGAATAAAAACAAGAAATTAATATAAATTATACATATGTGAAGAATAAACAAATTAGCAAATAAATATGCATTCTTTTATTGAACGATTTGTCAAAGTGCGAAAGTAAAAGCCTGCTCGCGCGTATAGGCTATTTTTCGTGCTTCTCGTGTTCGTGCGTGAGCACGAATGCATCAAGTCACGCACGATTGTTTAATTGTCAGTTTTGAATTGTAGGGCAACAACTTTTTGTGTGCTCAATACTAAAAGAACTCTAATCAAAGCCTTAAGACGAGTGAGGCCTAGTTGAGCTCATGAGAATTGCATAGAAGAGCAATGCTCAAGAACGGTTTTTTACAATTTTCTGTACAGTGGAAAGTAAGCTTGATCTGCGATTGGTATCAAAGAATATACAAAAGACATAAATACAAGGCCAAGTTAATATCGTATTACACTTTCACCTACCTAAAAAAAAATGTACATCGGAGAAGTTATTCCGAATTGGTGAATTACGTCGTGATTTTCAGAATGAAAACGAGACAGCTTGTCTCTCTATAGACCCATGGTTATCATATACCCTCATTCTACAATCTGCCCATTGCGAGATCAGCATATGGTACATATCTTAAAAGACATGTAAGTACATATAAGAATACTTCATACTGTATACTTACAGCTAATTAAACAAATTCAATGCCAGCTAGTATATGTAGACGATCTTGTCAGAACCATCAATAGAAGAAAGTCGCATTTATACTGTGAGTACCGGGGTAAAATATTTAAATAACAAGCAATCCAGTGGATTGCATTATTTATGTATTTACAATAAAATCACAACTCGAAATGTAAATGTGAATGACTCCGCAGCACGTTATCGATACCGATTCCAATCACTGGCGATGTCCAAGTCACGCGCCATCGTCACGCGGCGAGCAAAACTACCGATATTTTAGCCAGGCGCCCAGCAAACGCAAGACGCGCGACGATGCTCTATCGAACAGTCGAACAACAAGCCAATACATATACACGCCTGCCGGCAGGCCCATGCACACACACACATACACGCGCGCGCACGCACACATACACCGAGATAGCACACACACACACTGGCGCACATGCAGAAACGAAATTTCATGCTGAGTCAGTCAGTGCCTTCCTTTGCCTTCTGCTGCCGCTGCTTTGGTTGGTGGTTGGTTGCAGCGTTGTTTCTGTACGAAAAAACAGTGCCGTACGCAGGGGGGTTGCCCTTAAGCGTTATAAATATGTAATGAACGGTATGCTAATTGTATGCAGTGATATAAACAAGAGAATCCCCCAAAACTTATTACCTTTTCGGCTTATATTAAAGGGCCTGTTCTCCATTTCTCAGAAATAAGCATATAGTTTGTTAAATATATTAATTAATAATTAATTTTTATGTTAATTTCGCCAAAAGTACCATTTTTCATATATTCATTTCGCAATCGAAGTTTCAATTTTAATATTCAAATGCACAAACTATTATTTTGTTTCCTTAAATTTGACTTGTGTATTAAGATAACACGAAAAGTGAAAACCCCCTACACAATACGGCCGGCTACGCGCCTGGGAATATCGCTTTATTGGTTGGTGAGCCGTCGCCCAGTGGAACTTCGAAAATTTTGTGTTGTCGAATTGCACAAACCGAACATCAGGCGCACAGAAATAGCGACAGGTGCTCGCCATGATATAGTTGGATGGCAACTCTTATTGGCTGCCGTCTCAGCTGCTGTCGCTTGGCGCGTTCAACGCTTACGCGCGCACACAGACACAGCGAGCGCTGAGTGTGTATGTGTCGCTGTATTGTTTTTAAATGATAGCGGCCGGGCAGTCAGCTGTTACTGTTACTCTGACTGGTGCGACAGGCGCAGACCAACCAGAAATGCTTTAAAGAGGGATAAAGACCGGCCCAATGGCCAGTAATCAGCTCAAAAACTGGCCGGCACATTTGATATGGCTGGGCAACTGGCAGAGCGCTACTCGGCCCTTCAGCCCCGCTCCCTCTGCCCAGCTTGGGCTTAGCCTGCAATTTATGTTAATTTGTTGTGATTCCTAACTCTGTTGGCTCCAGCTGCAAAGTGAAGTTCTCGCTTTCGCGAAGGCTCTATAATTATGTGGGTGGAGTTCAAAGCCAAGTATGTAGAATTAACCGGCTTGCTCTATTGGCCTAAATAATGCATACGTATTTGTTCCTAAAAATATATAAACAAAACATATTTAATGTTAAATTATGAGCTGCGTTCCAATTTATAAATTATAATTAAAAACAGCCCATACATACATACATACATATTTCTGTGTGCTTGTACTTATGTACGTAGAGTACTTTGTTTTTTATATAGAAGCTAAAGCGGATGCTACCAAATTTATATTTGTATGATTGCAAACATTAATCATTTTTAAGGGGTATTAAATGACGTCAAGTGACAACAAATATTTAATTAATAAATATTTAAACTGTTCAAAAATTGTTTGCATATAAAAGTTCTGTAGAAAGAGAATAGAAAACATTTTATTGATGAGCCCGGTCTATAGAATTGTTTTCTAATTAATTCGACTTTCTTCTTGTTTTTTAATAAAAATTCTAAATATATATGTACATATATATGCATACACATACACACTTACACCTAGTCACACACACATGTAGGCTCTGGCCGATCAGTTTTAATTGTTGGCCCTTAAATGTTTTACCACTTGCCTAATTAATAATTCCTATACATTTGTGCACACATGCACACCATAAATTGCATGACCTTCACAGGGCACACACACTAAGTTGAGTAGGTGTGTGTGTGTGTGTATGTGTGTGTGTGTGTGTGCGTATGCATGCAGGGCTGTCAATTATGTGGGTGGAGTTGGAAAATCATATCGCATTGGCCATTACTGTGCCTCCTTTACCTGCCGTTTCATTCGATGCTTGATGATAGGGCCGAGGCCTATTGGCGGCGGCTTAAATTGGCATTCGGTATTTGTAATTGGCTTTTTGTCTCTGTTCCAATAAGGGAAACAAGAAGCAGAAACAAGTAAACCCCCCACACACATACACGCACACACACACACACACACATGCAACAAGTGGGCGCCACGTTTTCTGCGCGCTGCGAGCACAGCGAACGCGGCTAACATAATAAAACAGGGGCAGCCCAGCGCGCAGACACACACACACAAACACACATGCATACACACACATGCACACACATACACACACACATGCATATCCCATGCGAGTTGCAAGCGTATTTTATACGTTTGCTCGTTTCAAACAATGACAGTAAATTTGTGTAGTGCGATTTGTTGTATCGCGCGTCATTTAACAGGCGCGCAGCATTTTCAGGCAGCTACTCTTTGTGCATTTTCAGCTGGTCGTAGAGCGGCACAGCTATATTGTGCGCCGCAGTCGCTGCCTGTGCCAGAGCAAGCTGGCACTAGCAACATGCGCGCTTGCGGCGTGGTTTGTGTCTCGGCTAGGCGCTGAGCTTTAAAAGTTTGGGTACTACATTTCCTAAAAATGGCCTAAATGAATATTTATATTTGTTTTCGAGCGGCCGGCCGCAAAGAGAGGTCACACAAATTGACGACTGCATACATTTCACACATTCCCAAATGAAATTAAACAAATTTAAATGCTCGAAGTGGGTTAGCACATGTGCTAAGGTCGCGGCAAACACAAGAGCTGTTCACCCGCAAGCCCAGCCCCGCCCCTTCCATCGATAATTTGACTCGTGCTTAGATTAATTATCTCTTAATTAAAAGTTATGTAAGCGTCATAAAACTGGTCCATGGCAATGTTTGCCAAGCTAACATTTTTTAGCTGTGGCCCAAGAATTCTGCATTTGAGAAATTTCACGCTGGTTCCGGCACGTTGTGAACGTTAAGGAACTGGTTCATTGGAACCAAAGGAAACTTCTTTTCTTACGCCCAAAAATGTTCTCTAGAGTTGTGCACAAAAACTGCCGCCTTTGGCCCATTGTGCATTGCACAAAAATAAAATAAAAGCCGTCTTAAAACATGTAAATGTGGCAAACTCTATGGAATTTACAAAACGACTTTTCCAGTCATCAGCAGCGTTCAATGGCAGAGTTTCATTCATGCGGCAAGATCTATAACACAACAAGTCCATCAAAGTCATGGCCGGTTGCAATGTGGCTTGCTGCAATCCCTGCCCACCACGCCATCCCTCCACTTCCTCCGTACCCTGCCAGATATTGAGAAAACAAGAAACAGACCCAAATATCACTCGGAACCAGTCACATGCTGCTGCTCCGCGCAACTCCCCTTACCCAACACCCCAACTGAAAAAAAAAAAGCAAGCTAGTTTATTGTTCTGTCACGCGCTCGGACAACGGAC